CAGCCTCCTCAGGCCAGCCTGGCCCTCCTCCCCCATCTGCATAAGAACGGTTTGCAATAGGCAGTGAAACCCCTGGGAAAAGGACAGTGCAGAGGCCGACCCCTCCCACCCGAACCCCTGGCTCCCAGCCTCTGCGGAGCTTCCCCCACGGCCCACGTGCACACCCCTCACGAAGGGGAACCCAGGGACAGACTCAGAAGCGCTCGCCCGCCCATCGGGGAGCCCTGTGCAAAACCAAGGGCACAGAAACAAAGCTTCCCGCGACAAGGAGAGGCCAGCCTCTGTGACAGCTCCTGCATTTTTCAGAAAACCAGCAGCTGAGTTGAGTAGCAGCACTTTCTAGGGAACTGATGGCTGCGGGAGGCGCTGAGGCCCGAGGCACAGCCAGGGGCGTCAGCGCCAGCACAGCCACCCTCCCCCGGGAAGCCTGGAGAGCAGGAAAGCGAGGGGGGGGGGGTGTCAGAGCAGCCAGAGGAGCGGAGACCCATGGTCACGGCTCCCGCAGCACAGCCAGACCTGAGCTGTCACCACCTGGCAGGGCCGAGCCTGGGCCTGGGCCAGCTGTCTGACCTTGGGACGTGTAGCTCCCGCACAGGCCGTCTGTGTGGGGGCCGCACGGACAAGCACAGCAAGTGTTCAGGACACACGTGCTCAGGGCACACACTCTATGAAGTCAAACTGAGGGGGGGGCAGGGTGTCTGAGTCACAGGTCTGCCCCATTCCGCTGGGTCACCTTGGAAAAACCATGTGACTGCTCAGGGCCACCTTCCTCAGATGAGTAGAAATGGGGTCAACACCACCGGTTCTGTCCACTGAGGCAGCAGGTGTGGGAATGGCCTGACCCGGCCCCAACCCTGACCTTGACCCCAAGGTCAGGCTCCTGCAGCTGCTTTCAGCTCTCACCTGTGTCCTGGAAGCCTGTGTTTACCTTCTGGCCTCAGTCAAGAGGTCCCCTGGGGGCCAGCACCCGGCTGTGCCACCACCCCCCGCCACCAGCACCCTGGCCGTGCCCCCCCCGCCCCGCCACCAGCACCTGACCGTGCCCCCCTCACCAGCACCCGGCCGTCCCCCCACA